ATGAGTGACTTGACCAGCTCTCAGTGAGAAAATAAAACAACTAAAATTTCACCGACGGTTCCCTGAAAATGCCCTAGACCTCCTCTTGGGCAGCGTTGCAATAGCTCATAAAACTCTGAAGAGGTCACAGGTATTTATAGCCAGATATTTATGAGTTTGAGTTCTCCAAACCAGGAACAGAGGCTGAAAAGAGACAAGGACATTCCCCCAGAGCCAACAGGGAGAGAAAACCTTCCCCGAGAGCCAATGCCCTGAATTCAGATTTCCAGCCTCCTAAATGGTGAGAAAATAAATTTCTGTTTGTTAAAGCCAAAAACAAAACAACAACAACAAAAAACAAAGTAAGCAAGCTGAAGTCTCACCATCCTCGTTTCTAAGAAGCATTCTGGTTGTATTTCTTCTAAAACTGATCTGTTTATTCATAAGGGAAGCATAGAAGGGGAAAAGTGGTGCAGATTGAGAACTACTGGTTTGAGGTAGGTGAACTTCCCAAGTTTAGAGCACAGAGGGCCTCTGGTCTCTCATCGAAGTCTGAACTTCAAAATGCTTATAAAGGCATCTGTGCGGATTCAAGAAGAATTGAGGTCAAATTTACCCAGTGAAAAGAATTTTCTCAATCCTCCAGATTCCTGTAAGTGCCAGGAGGTAATGGGAATATCTTTTTTCCCCCCTAAGCTTCCTTTAACTTTTCTGGCAGTGCTAAAGAATTCATAAAGCAATGGAATAAAAGAATCTGTAAGAAGATTCTTAGTCCAACGAATTAAAGGCCACATTTGCAGAAGCCCAGCTGAATCTGGTATTCACATGGGAGGTTTAATGATGGGCGTCATGATAAAGTGATTACCAAAGAAGAGAAACATGTGTCTGATACCAGAGCGCCTGTTCTTTGTCCTTCACACCATTGCCTCTATAAGTAAACAACAGCATGAGTTTTGCGGGTTTCTAAAATTTGTATTTAAATCATAGTGATTGACCTTGTGAAGAGGATGGACATAGACAAGTGAAAACAAGAGAAATTAAGTACCCTTCATATGTTGGTGGCTCTCCCCTGCGTCCCTCCTCTGACAGTCCCTACTCATCTGGTGTTCCCCACCCCTCTTGTACTCCCACTACCTCTTCCTCTTTCTCATGCTTCTCGAATCCTCTTCTTCTTCTCTTCTTCCCTTTACCTCCTTCCTGTGAAAGCCTGGGGGTGAGCTAGACAGAGCTGTGGTAAGACCTGTGTGGAATTGCTCAGAGATGGGGTAACCTCAGACACTGTGCACATTAGAAAAAAAAAAACAAAAACAAAAACCCGGAGGCAGACAGCGGCACCAAACACCTCTTAGAACTTCTCCTTTCCTGACAATAGCGACGATTTACTGCTCACCAAGATGATTCTAAGTGCTTTTTAAATATAGTGCTTTGTTGTTTTTATTAGTTGCTGTCAAGTTGGCTCTGACTCATCACGACTCTGTGTACAACAGAAGGAAATGTTGCCAGGTCGTGGGCCATCTTCACAATTGTTGGTGTGCTCAAGTCCATTTTTATGGCCACTGTGTATTTTGAGTGCCATTCAATCCAGGGGGCTCACTTTACAGCACTATATCTGACAATATTCAGTTGTGAACCATAGGATTTTCATTGGCTAATTTTTTGAAGTAGATTGCCAGGCCTTTCTTCCTACTCTGTGTTAGTCTGGAAGCTCCACTGAAACCTGTCCACCATGGTTGACCCTGATGGTACTTGAAATACTGGTGGCATAGCTTCCAGCACCACAGCAACATGCAAGCCACCACAGTATGACAAAATGATAGATGGGTGTTAGAAATAGTAGTACTTAGAACCATGATTTCCACACACTTGGTATCATACTTTAGTACCATTACCAAAATTCTTACAATAACCTTACAAGGTAGATATTCTTATTATCCTTCTGTAATAGATGAGGATGCCTTAGAGAGGTCAGATAACTTGCTCAATTTCAAATAGCTAATATCCAGATGAACTGGTAAGCATCTCACCGTATTCTCAGTTTTTCTGATTACAACATCTTTATACCTCCTGTTCAGACATTACGATTTAAGAAGGACATTGGGAAACTAGAAAGTACAAATAGCCTGGCCATAATGAGGAAGGTATTGGAAAGTATACCATCTTTATCACCTTTATAAACAATAAACATGTAGTGAGTATTATCTCTATGCCAAATCCTATGGTGTTTTATATGCATTATCTGCATGAAGTAAAACACTTAGTAAAACCCCATTATGAAACATGTAAATTATAATCATCCTAATTTACAGGTGAGGAAGATGAGGCCTGGATAGATTAAGCAACTTGCCCAAGACTACCCAGTTAGTAAGTGATAGCGGCAGAAATCCAGAGCCAACACTTATAATCATACACTGTGCTGGAAGTAGTTACTACAGCATGCACAGGAAGAGGGAGGGAGAGAGAAAAGAGATCCAATAGGAATACTCTCAGATGATGGAAAAATATCATTTAGAAAGAAAAAAAAATTACATAGTAAAGCTCTGGAGAACAGAACTGTAACAGTCAGATTGTTATAGAGAGGTAGACTTCTGTACAATATGACGAAGAACTTTCCAACAATTATTTTTGTCTAAAAATATTACAGACTGCCTCACAAAACAGAGAGTGAATTCTCTGGCCCTAGGAGTGTTCAGATACTAAAGAAAAATTCCTAAATTAAAGAGAATGTTGGCGTGTATGACCTCTAACATAATACAGCGTATGACCTCTAACATGCTTTGGATCTAGAAGTTAGGAACCATCACAGAAGCCCAGCAAATGTGATGGATATAATTTGATAGGTGGCCATGCCAAAGCATGATGAGGAAAAATGGTTGAACCCAAATAAGGAACTAATTTAGCCCTTGAACTGATCTGAGTCTAGTCTTCAGTTCTATCAGCTTTTTTTTTCAAACTGTCTCCTGACAAATTGCTTGGTAAAAAAGCCAGCCGAAAGCAATCTTTGTTCTAATTAAGCAAAGAGTTGTTTTTCTTTATTTTTAGTCTAAGGAGATGCATTTCATCCTCCCTATTATTACAGAAGTACTAACAAGGTGGCACCCAAGAGATAGTCCAAGCAGGGTGCCATTTTCAGGCAGTAGTGAAAGCTAAAGCTGGCCTCGTAAGACCTGGGTAGATGATTAATAACATCCTGTCTTGGAGGAGTGTTGTGAAAGCAGGAAGGTAATGTTTCCCTCCCAGGAAGAGGCAGATTACTTCAGGAAACTGGTGAGGGGAACAGAGAGGAAATACAGATAGAGTTCTTTCCTTGCTCAACCACTGGCTCTGTTATGCAAGAGCCGCACAGAGGGTAGGCTGACATCAAGGTGTCCAAGTCCAAACGACTTGCTTAAAATACCCGTTCAAATAAGTACTAACAGTGGCTACCATTTTTACAACATTTCACAGATTATAATACCTATTCATGTATCATATCTCACTTAAGCCTTCTCAGCATTTTCTATACAAACGAAATTGTGAACTTAAAGACTTGAAAGTTTCTTTTATATATAGTGTCTCATTTATATTCCAAATGACCTTGACATAGAGGTGTTACTCAGCTGTTTTTTTAATTGTGGTAAATATATATGTATATGCACTTTTTACATGTACAAGTCAGTGACATTAATTACATTTATTATGCTGTGCAACCATCACCACTGTCCAGTTACCAAATTTTTTCATCACCCTGAACAGAAACTCAGTGTCCCCTAAGCAATGAATCTCCCTTTCTTTCTCCGTTTCTACCTGCCTCTGGTAGCCACTAATGAACTTTGCTCTCTATACATTTGCCTATTCTAGATATTTCATATAAGTTGGGGAATGGAATATTTGTCCTTTTGTGTCTGACTTATTTCACTCAGCATAACGCTTTCAAGGTTCATCCATGTTGTAGCATGTATTAAGACTTAGTTTCTCTTTATGGTTGAGTAATATTTCATGGTATATATAAACCACATTTTGTTTATCCATTCATCTGTTGATGGACATTTAGGGTGTTCTCACCTTTTGGCTGTTGTAACTGAGCCAATGGAACTATGTAGAAACCCACAGGCCACAGCACCTATTCTGAGTGTACCAAGTGACTGTTACTTTGTTTCTGTTATCAAAGTCATTATCATCAGACAGTTAAGAAATACAGGACAATTTTGTTTGGTGGGAAATAAAAAACTGATAGCTTAAAATATTTTTATGATTATGAAAATAGCATTCTTCCTACAGCTGTCAAGTCAATTTCAACTCATAGTGACTCTATAGGACAGAGCAGAACTGCCCCATAGGGTTTCCAAGGCTGTAGTCTTTTTGGAAGCAGACTGCCACATCTTTCTCCCGCGGAACAGCTGGTGGGTTTGCACCACCAACCTTTTGGCTAGCAGCCGACTCTTAACCACTGTACCACCAGGGCTCCTGAGGTATTCTTACGATCTGCAGAAAATCTGGAAACCATTGAAAAATATAAAGAAATAAGGAAAAATTATTTGTTGTCCAACTGTCTGAAACAAACACTCTTAAATATTCAGTATTATTACTTTCAATAAATAAATATATTCAGATTTTATAGTAGCAGCCATAGTGTATATATAGTGTTACCTTCTTTATCACAGGAATTTTCTATTTCATTTAATATTTCTGTATTAGAATCATTTTCATAGTACAGTAGTTCATATGGGTATAGCATAATTTATTTAACCTCTTGTTAACGAACGTCTTTGCATATGGTATATATGTTTTGTATATCTTCTTGATATTGCTCTTAGTAATTCTTAGAAGAGAGAGTATTGCCTCAATAAGCACAATTGCTACTAATGAACTTGCTGTAGATTGTCAAATTGATTTCTAGAAATGTGGTACCAATTTCCACTCCAATGAATAGTGTCACTTCTTTGCCAGCATTGAAGATTGTCACACTATTTAAATTTAGTAACCTTAAAGATGAAAAATATTATTGTTGTTTTAATTTTCACTTATTTGAAATCCATTGATAGGAAGGCCGCTTTAGCTTGTCAACACAACTCATTAAAGGCATGAATAAAAGAAGTATCTGGGAAGAGCAGTCGTGAACTTGATACTCCCCTCTGAGGGTGAAGATCAGACCATCATAACTAACTCCCAGCTGGTCAAGGTAAGTACTTAAGGGACAGGGAGCCTTGGACATTGACTACAAGAGCAGGGAACACAGCAGTAGGGACTAGCATATGTCTGCTGGTTGATGTCTTGCCTCTCTTTCTTCCACTGTGAGTACTTTTTATTGCTTGAACAGTCCTGAATGCCTGCTGTGTGCTCAGCATGCCTGCACTAAACACTCTCTCAACATTTGTTTCTCAGCATGAACTCTGTTCACCAAGCCATCTCTGTAAAGGGCAAAACAAGGATGGGTTCTGAGCAGAGAAACCTAGAGAACTGGGTGATCTGGAAGGAAGCCCACTGGTAACTTTTCTGTGGAGGTGATGAATGTAATCATACATCTGTCTTCATGATGGAAAAAAGAAGTATACCTATTTTTTGTCATTGATTTTTTTCAGAAAATGTTTTCTGCCCTTGTTCTTTTGTTTTTAGATTACTAGTTAAGAACGATATTATGAAGAATTTTAGACAATGACATTTTAAGAAATGAACCCTGTACACAACCCATCACCCAGATATATTGACTCAACTCAAAACTGCTCCCATATGGTTTGTCCCATGCCCACCCCTATAACTGGATCATTTTGAAGAAAATTCCAGAAAATGCCAGATATAATATGATTTTACTCATAAATATTTTGGTATTCATCTGTAAAGATAAGGTCCCTTTTAAAGAACATATCTACATATATTACTATTATCTTCCCTAAAATAGTTCTCACTGTTTTACTTCCCTAAAATAGAATTACTGTTCAAATTTTCCCAATTGTCTCTCTCTCTCTTTTTTTTTTTTTTTTGGTTGAGTTTTTGAATTGAGATCCAAACAAATTTGAGTTGGCATCCAATATACACATTGCATTGTTGAATGTTTATTGTATCTCTTTAAATCTGTGGCCCCTCCCTCCATTATGCAGCAGGAAGCTGTTTCCTTTTAGTAGGAAATGGTATTTAATCTAGGTGCCAGAGATGCTTATTGTTACTATGATGGTCTTTTTTTCTGGACAGAGCTTAGAAGTGAATAATATGTAGGCATTTTCTGTAGACATTTTTGGTCTGCTCATATAATTTTAATTGCTATTTCTTCATGTATATTGCAGGATGACTTTTCTTTTCTTTTCCTCCTTAGTAGCAGAACTCCATACCTCCTTAATCAAATACTCAGTGTGTTCATTATACCTCGTGGTGGTACAGGTTTTTTAGGGTGAGGCTGTGGATGGTTCACCATGTCATCTGGCTCTTCATAATCTTCCTTTAAATTCTGCAACACTCATGAACCAAAAAGAAAAAACAAAGCTGGAAAGGGACTGGTAACATTTGGGATAAAATCACAGAATGACAGGGCTGCAAGGCCCTACCGAGATCATGCAAGCTTACTTCTTTATTTTGTAGACAGCTATGCCAAAGCTAGGGAAGTGACTTGCTTGAGGTGATCTAAGTCAGTGGTTCTCACATTTTGCCATGGCCAAGAGTGAGCTGGAGGACGTGCCCAAATACAGACTGCTGAGATTCTGATTCAGGAGGTCTGGCTGGGGCTCTGGGGATGCTGAAGCTGCTGACACACTGACCAACTTTGAGTGGCACCGATTTTGTTGTTGCTAGCTACCCTCAACTTGACCCTAACACAGGGCAACCCCATGCACAACAGAACCAAACACTGTCTGGACCTGCACCATCCCCATGAACTGGTTGCAGATCAGATTGTTGTGGTCCATAGGGTTTTCATTGGCTGATTTTTGGAAGTAGATCGCCGGGCCTTTCTTCCCAGTTTGTCTTAGTCTGGAAGCTCCGCTGAAACCTGTTCAGCATCATGGAAACATGCAAGCCTCCACTGACAGATAGGTGGTGGCTGCGCATGAGGTTCATTGGTCAAGAATCAAACCCAGGTCTCCCACATGGAAGGTGAGAGTTCTATTATTGAACCACAAATATCCCCTAGCACCAATCTAGATGTTTTCTAATAAACAGACAGCGTGGGCATCTTCTTGGCTTCAATTCTGTTGAAGTACAGAGAACTCACTTTGAACTACCTGAAGGAGATGCTGGAAAAATCAAGTCACGGGGCCAGGACCAGGTATTTTGTGGACTGTCTAGGTGGTCACTTACCTGGTATGATTTATGGAGAAGACTCAGATGCCTCCCCAAATCTGCTTGGTGTCTTCAATGTTTCATCACAGATTCATACCTTTGGGTAACTCCTTCTTTTAAAATTCAGGTCCTTTAAAAACAAAAATTTACTTCTCCTGGTAAATTTTAGCCATTGACCTAAATCTAAGGCTGTTTCAAATTTTACCAGGAAACTTTATGTAACTGTAGGCAATCTTTCTCTGACATTCCACAGTCTCTGCCTGTGTTTCTCTTGACCCTGAATACTTCCTACTGTGTGTTCTTGAACAGGGCAGTGATCTAGCAAACTAGGTATCCCAGAGATGCAAATTTTAAAGTCCAGACAAAAGTGTACACTGACTCGTGTACTGAATAGCTGCCTCAAGGCTTGATTAAATGCAGCCAGAGGTGGCAGAGGTTTAGAAAACTCAGTCCTGTCTGTATGGTAAAAATAAATGACAGGAACTCCAAAAGGCATAACAATTCAGGAATTTCAGTCCAAAAACCATCTTTAGCACTTTCAGTTTCTAGAAGTTTTGTAACTATCTGTTGACATCTATGTTCCACATCTGCTGTCTATTACTCAATGAACAGTAAAATCTGAAAATCCGAAGGGCAGGTCCCAAGGAGACTGAACCTGCCCTAGAGAAAAGGAGAAGAGTGTGTGGGAACATCACTGGGGATTGAGACACTGGCTGTCCTTTGGGACAGGGTCAAACCAAAACCCAATGCCATCAAGTCGATTCCAACTCACAGTGACCTCATAGGGTTTCCAAGGCTGTAAATCTCTATGGAAGCAGATTGCCACATCTTTCTCCCACAGAGCCACTAGTAGTTTCGAACCACCGACCTTTCAGTTAGCAGTTGATTGCTTTAACCACTGAGCCACCAGGGATCCTAATTTGGGACCGGACAATTGAGTTCCTGCCTATGATCCCCTTGATAGCGGTGATGTGGTCTCCACTATGTTCCCTGGATTTGCCCTAATAGTGCTATATGCAGTTGCTGTAGGGAGAAGGACCCATGGTATAGCACTGGCAGTTAAGGGACTCAGGGAGTGTATGTGTGGGGAGTGGAGGAGAACATATTAAAGAAGAACATATCAAAGAAGGAAGCAAAGAAAAGAAAGGTAATATGGTGACAAATTTTGCCCACTTAACAGTTTTGCTTTTGGTTGATCCATATAAGCTAGACTTTCATTCATTCATCACACCACCTGCCCTTTCTTCTCTGGATAATGAACCAGATCATGAATCAAAGGCTGTTTTCCTTTTTTTTTTTTTTTTGTAAAGCAAACCTTACACACACACACACATACACACACACACACACACACACACACACACGCACAAAACCAAACCCATTGCAGTTGAACTGATTTTGACTCATAGCGACCTTATAGGACAGAGTAGGACTGCCTCATAGGGTTTCTAAGAAGTGGCTGGGGATTCGAACTGCCAACCTTTTGGTTAGTAGCTGAATAGTTAACAACTGTGCCACCTGGTACCTGAAAAATGGAAAAGAGTGGCTGCCCTTCTGGCAGCAATACATGAGCATATGGGGACAGTAATTTAAAAACAAGACTCCCCTAAAAAATATTATATTCAGGTAGCTACTGCCAGCAAAATGCTGTGTAATAAGTCATCCAGAGACTCAGTATCATAAAAAAAGCAATCATTTATCCTCACAGACCTGTCTATTGCTTGAGAGTCAGCCAATGAGTCTGGGCTCAGCTGGGCAGCACTGCAGACCTCAGTGGGCTTACTCCCGTTTCTGTATCTGCTGACTGAGACTGGGCTCTGCTGGGTGGTTCAGCTTTACTCCATGTGTCTCTCATCTTCCCCCTGAGACCTGGGGCTAGCCCAGCGTGTTGTTCTTATGGTTATGGCAGAGGTACAGAGACTGTGTAGAAATACTGCCTTTTAAGGCCTAACCTTGAAACTGGCTCACTGCCCCTTCCACCTTATTCTGTTGGCCACATGAAGTCATACGGTCAAGCACAAAATCAGGGGGCCCAGAAATAAATACATTCTGCTCCTGTGGTGGGAGGAAGTGCAAAGTCACATGTCAGATGAGGTGAACACAGAGAGACGTTAAGAATGAGGCAAAGGAGGCCTGCATCCACAAATTACAGTGTATTATCAATTAGGGTACATAATACTGCATAGAAAATTCCGATAAAATACCGTAAGACTCTGATGCTGATTTATAATGCTTTCTTATGGATAAACTGTTAAAAACTTTAGCCAGTTTAAGGAGTACCCGTTTAGTTTTGTTCAGATTTATTTTCCTCTTTTGCTATCAGTTGTTGTTGTCAGGTGTTGTCCAGTTGATTTCAAGTCTTAATAACCCCATCTGACGAAGTAGAGCTGCCCCATAGGGTTTTGTAGGTTGTAATCAGACAGCTAAGTTTTTGTCCTGCAAAGTTGCTGGGTTTCAAACTGTCAGCCTGTTGGTTGTAGCCAACTGCTGAACCGTTGTGCCACCTAGAGTCTTCTAATTCTTTTTCTGTGTTCCATGGGGTTTCAGTGCTACATTGATCTGCACTGAGCCTTATGATTCAATGACAATTCTCAGACTTGATATCTGCAATTCCTCCATCACTTTAAATATACACTGTCTTCAAAGTTGTTGCTAAAGAGCCTTCAATTCACTCTGCAAAATACCCATCAATTAGGTTTTATGTGACTGAAAGCTTATTTTCTATTTGAATATCTTGTGTAATTTCAGCTACCATTTACTAAGAACCTCCTAATGCCAGCCTTTGTACTGGGCCCTTTACATTTCTTTGTTGTCTGATTTAACACTCAGAACAATTCTACAGTATGGACAGTATAATCTCCATTACATAAATGAGGAAACTAAACTCAGAAAGATTAAATTGCTTAAGATCAA